CCATGAATCAAAAGGTCACCTCTTCAATTCTAGGCAGGGTGCATGCCTGGGTTGTGGGATCAATCTCCAGTAGGGGGTGTGCAGAAGGCAGCCAATTGATGCTTTTCTAAAATCAGTAAAAACATATTGGGGAAAAAAGTGTGATCCATAGTCCCTCCTTTCGTCTCCAGAACAAATTTCCAGATACATAATAATAGGGCTAATGGAAAGCTTTTCTGCATACATAAATCTTATCCATGTTTTTCTAACACATATGCTTTCTTGGAAGGGAGGCAGGGATGAAGGAATATACTCTGGCTAAAAAATTTCCAAACTAGTTACATTCATAGGGTTTCTCTTCAGTATGAGTTGCCTGATGCCTAATAAGTTTAGAGCTGTTAATGAAAGCTTTCCCACATTGATTACATGTAAAGGGTTTCTCTCCAGTATGTGTTCTTTGATGTACAATAAGTCGAGCACTCAAGCTGAACGTTTTCCCACATTGATTACATTCGTAGGGCTTCTCCCCAGTATGAGTTCTCTGATGTTGAGTAAGGCATGAACTCTGCCTAAAGGATTTCCCACACTGACTACATTCATAGGGCTTTTCCCCAGTATGAGTTCTCTGATGTACAACAAGAACATAACTCTGGCTGAACGACTTCCCACACTGATTACATTCATAGGGTTTTTCTCCTGTATGAGTTCTTTGATGCATAACAAGGTGTGAACTGCGGTTGAAAGATTTCCCACACTCGTTACATTCATAGGGTTTCTCTCCAGTATGAGTCCTTTGATGTGCCACAAGCTGAGAACTCCAGCTGAAAGATTTCCCACACTGATTACATTCAAAGGGTTTTTCTCCTGTGTGAGTTCTCTGATGGGCAACAAGTTTATAACTCTGACTAAAGGACTTTCCACATTGGTTGCATTCATAGGGTTTTTCTCCAGTGTGAATTCTTTGATGTGCAATAAGTTTATAGCTCTGGATAAATGATTTCCCACATTGGTTACATTCATAGGGCTTCTCTCCCGTATGAGTTCTTTGATGTGCAATAAGCTTGTAGCTCTGCCTGAATGACTTTCCACACTGACTGCATTCATAAGGCTTCTCTCCAGTATGAGTTCTCTGATGCACAACAAGAACATAGCTCTGGCTAAAGGATTTCCCACACTGATTACATCTATAAGGTTTCTCTCCAGTATGAGTCCTCTGATGGGAAACAAGGTGCGAGCTCCGGCTGAAGGATTTCCCACATTCATTACATTCATAAGGTTTCTCCCCTGTATGAGTTCTCTGATGTGCAACAAGATGAGAGCTCCAGCTGAAGGATTTCCTGCATTGGTTACATTCAAAGGGTTTCTCTTCAGAATTTTTCATGTTTGGAGCAAGAAATGAATTCTCAGAGATTTTACTACAATTATAGTCAACAGGAATGTTCTGTTGTTCATTATGGGATATGCTATGGTTTAAAACTTGCCCACATTCCTTAACATCAAAGGGTTTTTCTCTTGCATGTATTTTCTCATGTATATTTATGGGTGTACCATGGCTAAAAGATTGAATATTGTTGCTAAACCCATAGGATTTATCTTCTGTTTGAGTTCTTGTAAATTGAATAAGGTGAATGCTCTGGGATTTTTTTCCATATTCATTATTTTCGCATAGTTTCTCATTGTCACTAATCATCTGATGACTGTCCACAACAGAATGATGTAATTTTTTAACATGAGAGACATGTTTATGGAAATGGTTTCTTATGGGTATCATCTGGGGTGAAAGAAAACTGGAATTCAGACCACTCTTTTCCTCAAGTTCATCACTTTTGCAGACTCTTTCATGAATGAATGCCACTTTCTTAAAAAGTCTTTCTTGCTTTTCCTGTTGCTTCTCCAACTGATCCTTACAAATCCAAACTTCTTCACATGAAGATAACCAAGGATCATCTCTTGTCAACCTTTCTAATTTCACTCCATGGGATGGTTCATCATCAATAATTCTCTGCTTTGATGTTGATTCTCTTCTTCCAAGTGCAGTTGCCAAGTCTGGAAGAAAGAAAAATAAAATATTATAGCCAAAAAATGTTGGAATAGTGAAATAAAGCTGACAAGAAAGGATGCAAAATACATGTAGATTTGTTTTCAGCTATTATTGAGAATCAAGAGGATGGGATGAAGCAATAAGCAGAAAACTACCACAGCCCAATAGTATAACACTGCATTAAAATGGAATAATTTAATCATAATTTTACTGAATATGTAAGACTTTAGACACCAAATCAAAACCTCCATGTTCCAAAATAAGATCACTTATATAGACTAAAAGAATCATAAAACAATTTTGCAATTCTTAGCAAAGTAATAAAGGGTCCTTTCTACCCTCTTTAGTGCTAAACACATGTTCAATGAAATAGAAATTAGTGTCTACATGCCTAGGAATTTCTGAAAGCATGAAACTTGTTAGCATAGCCTATGTCAGTAAGAAACAAGCAAACTACAACTGTGAACCAGGAAAAAGAATTGGGACACTGTTATCCCAGCATTCCCTAGATGCCTTAAGGTTAATATGGCCCCATGGATTCCTGTGATTCTGAGAGAGAATGGAGGTTAGCTCATAAGCATAAGCCTCACTGACTAAGCCAAGCATTAAAGAGTATCTGGAAAAGTGGTGATGTATATCATCCACTAGGAGATGGGAAATGAAGAAAAATGTGGCATGCCCTATGGGGATATTTCAATCTAACCTTCTATAACTATGATGACTCCTTTGTGTCTGTTTCTCACCAGGATATGTGTGTGGGAAATTCTTTTTATACTCATCCCATTGCTCCAACTGGGAAATTGTGTCTGGTTTGAAAAGCTGGTAGGGAAAGATATAGGACTTTGGGTGCCTGGGCTGGAGACCAGGAAAGTTACTGCAGAATTTGGTCCTAGTTTTTGGCCTTTGGGAATCATGAAGATTAAACAATCTCAAACCAAAGAAACTGTACCTTTTCTACCTTACAAATTTAAATTAAAATTAAATTTTCACTAGGGAATAAAAAGCACAAACAAAATCTATGTGTGGCCAAAGCCATTTTTACCTCTGAACTGCAAAATTCTCAATCAATAAGAAATAATTTCAACATACAGACTTCATTAAAGGGGACCATATTCTTACCCCAAGAGACCAAGTCCCTGTGGTTCTCAAGGATCGCATCTCTGTCCAGGGTCCTCTGAGCAGGGTTCAAAATGCCCTCTTCCTGAGAGAAGTCCACAGTCACAATTTTGAAGTTTACGCCTTCCTACAACAGGACACACATTCCTGCTCAGCTGGGCATCATTTCCCTTTAATGTTCATAGAGGAAGAAAAGTTTGACAGATGGAAGAAAGGAAACTTGATGTCCCGGAAGTTGTACTGAGATAGTCAGCATTCAAAGAATTCTAGTCAAGGAGTACATGTGTCTTCTAGGTGAGCCCTTTTGGGTTTTGGATGCTGGATCTGTTTTGCAACCCCAAAGAGAAACACCAGATAAGAACTAATATACAATTTCTCTCTTGATCACCTTGAAGAAAATGCTTCCTTCTATTTTTTCACTGGTATATAGAATTCCCACATAGGAATTCCCTCCAAATTACCAGGAAACTAACTGAACAAGGATCAGTAATCTTTTTCTATCAAAGGCCAAAGAGTAAACATTTTAGGTTTTTCAAACTATACAGTCTGTCACAACTACTCAGCTGTAGCAAGATAGCAGTCATAGAAAATAAACAAATGGGTGTAGCTGTATTACAATAAAATGTTTTATTTACACAAATAGGTAGTAGGCTGCATTTGGCTCCAGGCTCTACTTTGCTGGTGCCTGAAGTATTAGACGAAATGTGGACCTTAATGAAGTAGAGGTTAAAAGCACTGGATTTGGAAAAAAAAGAGACTTGGGTTTTCTCACCCTGTAAACAGTGTATGTCTGAATTTAAAAAAAAAAATCTAATGTGACAATCTGTGTATTAATGGTGAGTTTATTCTATTTATTAGGCTTAATCATACCCAACTCATTGGGTTGTTGAGTTAATTGTGATGATGAATATAATCACATTAACAATTATTATTATCTGAAAACTCTGAGAAATTAAATGACAGCCAATGTCTTTAGTCTTCAGATGACAGTTCTATTTGTCTACACTGACCTGCACCGTAGAGCCTTTAGATGTTCAGGCATTACTGCCATATAAAAAGCACTGCCTCCTCTGAGCAGGAAAGGACCTATTTCCAAAACTACTGGGCAGGAATTTTGATCCAAAAAAGAAGTGCTGAGGGTGACCTGTCTTTACCTAAAAGCAGCAAAAGTCGGGGAAGTTGAATGCCACTGGCCACTAAAGGTTTTTAAAATAGACCAGATTTTATTAAGCTATAATTCATGAATGGGACGCAGGGTCTGTGAATCCCAAGACACTCCAAGCGAAATGCTGCTGTACTGCATTTTTCTATGTTGGAGCCATAAATTTTACCAGAATCTCAAAGGTTTTCATGACTAGCCCAAAATGGAATTGAGAAATGTTGTTTGCAAACTGTAACCTCTGTTGAATATGGATCTATTCTATAGTCCTGTTTTCCAACCTCTAATCCATGCGTCCTTTGAATAAATATGTACTCCTTTTTGCTATTTAATGTAGGTACCTACATTAAGCTTGTTCAAATATCAAATAAATCAAGCTTGTTCAAATATCAAATAAATAATACTAGACTAGCACCTCCCACTCCATCCCAGCTACATGTTTTCAAAAGTTCCACACTTTCTTATCATCTGCATAATGGTCATTTTTTGTCACTAGGCTACAGTCCATGAAGGAAAGTAGAAGGTATTTACAGTCTGCAACTGTTACTCCAGTGCTTAGCATAGTGTTGGTGTACAGTAAATACTAAATATATATTTAGTAAATTATGTCAATACTTCAATCAATAGAATTAATAGACTTTATAATATATCCGAATAATCCTGGTCCAAAGTCTATTTTTTAAAATCTTTATTGTTGAAAATATTACATATGTCCCCCTTTCCCCCCCATTAACCCTTCCTAGCCTGCCCCAGGCCTTCACCACCCTATTGTCTGAGTCCACGGTTTATGCATATATGCATACAAGTTCATTGGTTGATTTCTTCCCACCTACCCACCATCCCCTACCTTCCCTCTGAAGTTCAACAGTCTGTTCATGCTTCTATGACTCAGTCTATTTTTGATCATCAGTTTATTTGGTTCATTAGATTCCACATATGAGTGAGATCATGTGATACTTGTCTTTTTCTGACTGGCTTATTTCTCTTAGCATAATACTCTCCAGGTCCCTCCATGCTATCTCAAAGGATAAGAGATCCTTCTTTTTTTTAACTGCTGCATAGTATAAATGCACCACAACTTTTTTATCCACTTATCTGATGGGCACTTAGGCTGTTTCCAGATCTTAGCTATTGTAAATTGTGCTGCTATGAACACTGAGGTGTATACATTCTTTCTGATGGGTGTTTTGGGTCTGGTCCAAATTCTGATTTAGGTCTTCTCCTCTCACCTGAAACTCAAAGGGCCTATCACATACCCATTTGAAAAAAAAGTCCTTCAATATGTAGATACTGGCTTTTCTGAACTTCTATCCCCACTTACTCTATTCTGCTTCACCTGCCCCAAATCCCCACTCCTCCCAGTCCTTCTCAAACCCTTCAACTGTGTCCTTGGGAACTCATCTGCTATAATAATGAAATCCTACAGCTTCAACATCTTCACCTAATATTCCCTCTACATCCCTGTGTTAAAGGAAACATACCTTCCCCCCTGTGGACTCCTTCCGCCACAGACATCCCAGGCTTAGGGTGGTCATGCTCTCCCATCCAAGGGGGCGGGTGTGAGTCCTCCCAGTTACATTTAAACCCTTATCACTTACCATACTTCTTAGTTTTGTCCTACCAACCTCTGGAACCACCACGCCCATCCCCTGAAGACTTATAATACCCATGATTCATTTCCCATTTCAAGAACTTGAATTGTTTCACCTTCCATTGTCTATTGCAGCGATTTTCAATATTTTTCATCTCATGGCACATACAAACTAATTACTAAAATTCTGAGGAACACCAAAAAAATATATTACATTTTTGCCAATCTGACAAAAAAAGGTATAATTTTATTAACTTACAAAAAATAATAGTAATTACCTACCCTTTTTGCTCCAAAGTGACTTTTTAAAAAAAAACACCAGGTATATATATGGATTTCTGGTACCAAGAATTAACCAATCGCAACCTTACTGTGCGACGTGACCAATAAGATATAACTCTATTATATGACCTATATATTTATGGTTCAAGATAGGGCATTCACACTGGATGGCTATTGTTTTGGCTGTTGTCAGTTTTTAATTTGACAATCTAAGAGAAAAGAAGTCAGTGCCCCTGACTAAATAGTCAGATATGTATGTTTTAAAAATTCTTACGGCACACCCATGAGCCTGCAGCAGCACCCTGGTTGAAAATGACTGGTCTACTAGTTTAGCATCCACTTGCAGAGTTCTCTGATAATACTATAAAAGTAACTGACTTTAAGAAAGCACTTGCTGTGTAGTGCCAGGCAGTGCGCTTATCCGTGACACAAATTACCATTCAATTCTCACAAGGTCCTGTGAGAAAATTCTACTAGTAGCACCATTTTTCAGATGATGAACTAGAGAAATTAACATATGCCTAAAGTTGGTAGCTGGTCTACAACCTCACAGTTGCTTGACATCAGAGGTTGTGTTCTAAGTCATCAATTCACATGGCTAGCCAAACTCCCAGACCCTAAAATTGCTCTTCAGCGCCCCACTCTTAGGGTGACACCCCAGACTTAACATAAAGTACTCTACCTCTCAAATCACACACATAGAACTGCCTACTCTTTGATTACATCACATTATTTTTTATTACAACATCAGATTAAAAATTTTTTTCAATTACAGTTTATATTCAATGTTGTTTTGTATTAGTTTCAGGTGTACAGCATAGTAGTTAGACAATCATATACTTTTTGCAAAGTGGTCCCCACAGTATTTTCAGTACACACCTACCTGGCACTGGAAATACATAGTTGTTACAATATTATTGACTATATTCCCTATGCTGTACTTTACATCCCCATGACTATTTTGTAACTACCAATCTGTTCTTCTTAACCTCTTCGCCTTTTTCACCCAGTCCCCCAACCACATCCTCTCTGGCAACTTCTCCACTCTACTTGTTCAATTACTCCCTTTACCTTTCTCATCCTTGGATAGTTTGGGGCCATTATTCTATTGAAATGTCTACTATTACTATCTATCAGTTTGTATTCTTTTCCTTTCTAGTTAGTGTCCTCTTTATCTTTTCTGTCTTAATTATTCAGTTTAGAGTCTGGGGATCATTCACTTTAATCCCATTTAATATATTAAAAAATTCTCTTTTAAATATTACCTTGACCTATGGGGCTTCCACTGAATGCTTGTGGCTACAAAAACTAAATCAATCTGAATGTCAATGTACCGTCTATGGAAAGTAGGTTACAGAATGCTCCCCTTTGGGAGAGGGGAAATCCGCAGAAGCAGCTGGATAGAGTGTTATCAATTAATGGTCACTACCTTGGATAATCCCGTCAGATCCTCCAGCAGCCCTGCTATGCCTCCTGGAGCAGCCTGTTCTCCCATAATCCAAAATTACTACTCTAAAACTTCTCTACACATGTCACATGTCTCTCCATTCCAATCCCCACCCTTATAGCCAACAGTTAACTCCGTCTGCTTGTTCAGAGGCAAATCTAAGCTTTCACGTAACTCCCTCAACCTCATTTGTCCTTTATGCGTCCTTCTTCCTCTGTAGAGCCATTTATTCACATACTAGTGGCCCTGTGCACGAATCTGTGCGCGAGTAGCTCGCTGCCGCTTGCCTCAGCTGGGCGCCCCACCCACCGCCCCTCGTAGCTCTCCACCCCACGAGCTCACTGCCCTGCCCTCCTTTAGCTCTCCTCCACTCGTAGCTTGCTACCATACCCTCCTGTAACTCGCTGCCCTGCCCTCCTGCTGATCGGTCGTTATGTGACGGCGTCCTGACCAATTTGCATATTACCCTATTATAAGTATAGATACTCTGAATTAATTCCCCTGGAACTAATCAAGGACTCTGCTTTATAGTTTTATCTTCTCTCTCTCCTGACTATTAACTTCTTTTTCCCCACTAACTCCTTCCTGCAACTACTTGTGAGTCATATCTTTTGAATCCTTTAAGGAAATTTTAAAAAAGCCCTTCAACTTCAAATGTCCTGACAGCTACCACTCTCTTCAATCTTTCACATGATCACCCAATTTCTGTAAAAGTTGCCCCCTCTTACCTCCATTCCCATCACTTTCTACTCACTTCCCAGTTCACTTCAATCTGGCTTCTGCCACCAACCAGCCACACACATTTCTCAATGTAAAGAGGCCATGTGTCCAACCCACCTGGGATGGGACGGCCACTGGCCCCGAATCTTCTCTCTCGACCTTGATGATAATCTCTTGAGGAAGGAGAGAGTCCTGAGAAAGCAAAATAGACGAGAGAAAGGAAATTAAAGGGAGCTCCGTCACAGCTCAAAACCCTCACTGTGCGTAGGCGAGGATCTGACGTACCACCTGTTCTAAGGCATCCCACCAAACAGACTCCTGCTCCCTCCTTTGTAAGCTCAAGTGAGCCATGTGGGGGGCATCTGGAGGGTCACTGAAACATCAGACATGTGTCTTTGTGGACCTTCCAGGCCAGCCCAGCTGCCAGCCCAGTGAGTGACCACAGGCACTATGAAGAAGAAAAGAAATGTACAGCTGAATCCCTGCCTGAGTCCCTGGACCTCAGAATTGTAAGCAAAGAAGACAGAATACAGCATGACCAAAGAATGATCAAGGAGGGGGAAATCAATAAGTTAACTTCATGAAACGTTTGGCATAAAGCACCACCAATAAAGGCGTCGGCAATAGAAAATCTACTGTTAAGACTTCTTCCGAATCAGTAAGAAAAGGGTAGCTCCCACAGAAAAATGGACAAAGGAAAATACAATGCAGCTCAACTATGAAGAAATAAAATGGCCAGTGAATATACAAAGAGATGCTCACCTTTTTAAAACAGATAACACTAAACCTCTATTTCTATAATTATCTCTCTATATGTTAGAGACCATCGATTCACACTGGTACCTCCAAATATAATTCAACACACTTTATTCTAGCTTTCCTGTTTTTCATATTTGCACCTTCCTTCTCCTGCATCCAGTATTCACTTAAATTTACTGATTTGCTCAAAGTCCCTGTATGTAACCAACCATGTGGAGTGTTTCTTTTGCCTGTTGCTTACAATTCCTCCTGTGGTGGCCCACTGGTCAAGAACTTCTTTGCCGAAACTGGTTTGGCTCAGTGGATAGAGCGTCGGCCTGCGGACTGGGGGGTCCCAGGTTCGATTCCGGTCAAGGGCATGTCCCTGGGTTGCGGGCACATCCCCAGTGGGGGGTGTGCAGTAGGCAGCTGATCGATGTTTCTCTCTCGTCGATGTTTCTAACTCTCTATCTCTCTCCCTTCCTCTCTGTAAAAAATCAATAAAATATATTTAAAAAAAAAAAAGAACTTCTTATACTCTTAGTGGAAGTTTAACTTGACCCAACCTTTCTGCACTGGCTACATATATATATTTTAAATCCTCACTTGAGAATGTGTTTTTACTGATTTGAGAGAGAGCGGGGAAGGGAGAGAGAAAGAGAAACGTTGATGTAAGAGAGAAACATCAGTTGGTTGCCTCCTTTCACACCCTGACCACGAATCAAACCCATAACCTCGGTATGTGCCTTGACTGGGAATCAAACCTGAAATCATTTTGGTGCACGGGACAACGCTCCAACCAACTGAGCCACCTGGCCAGGGCTGGACTGGCAATATATATATTTTTATTTTCTTAATGTTTTTATTGACTTTAGAGAGAGAGAGAGAGAGAGAGAGGAAAGGAGAGGGAAAGAGAGAAACATCAATCAGTTGCCTCCTATATGCACCCTGACTGGGGATCAAACCTGCAACCTGAGTATGTGCCCTGACTGGGAATTGAACCTTCCACCTTTCAGTAAGATGCTCAACCAACTGAGCCACACCAGCCAGGGTAGCAATATATTTCTTAAATAACATTTTATTTGGAAATAGTTTAAGACTTGTAAGAGGTTGCAAAAATAGAACAGAGAATTCCTATGTACCCTTAGCCCAGCTCCCCCTGATGCTAGTATTAACAAAACCACAGTACACTGTCAAAATTAGGAAACTGATACTGGTACAATATTTTTAACTCAGGCACAAACTTTTTTCAGATTTTGTCAGTTTTTGTAGATACTCCTTGATTTTTGTCTTTTTAATGGAAATATTTTTAATATAATATACTATCCAATAAGTCTACTTGTATTCCATTGGCAAATAATAGAAACTACACTTAGATGTATATGTACAAGAAAACTCATTAAAGGGTTACATTATCCTAGCTAAATGGGAGGATGCTGCCGGGGTTCTTGTTCCAGCATCAAGAAGGGTTCAGCAATCTGGAGAAGGGCTGTGTGTAACTTAATAAAGAGTCCAGAGACGAAACATAATTTTGAAAGGCATTATAGCAGTGGTTCTCAACCTTCTGGCCCTTTAAATACAGTTCCTCATGTTGTGACCCAACCATAAAATTATTTTCGTTGCTACTTCATAACTGTAATGTTGCTACTGTTATAAATCGTAATGTAAATATCTGATATGCAGTGTGGTCTTAGGCGACCCCTGTGAAAGGGTCGTTAGACTGCCAAAGGGGTCACAACCCACAGGTTGAGAACCGCTGCATTATAGGGAGTCAGAGGAGCCTAGCTAAAGAAACTAAGATCTCGTCTCAGGACCCCTTGCTTTTTATTAACACAATTTGTCCTAAGGTGAGGTGGAGATATACACTTCAAAGGGTCATGTTTCGTATACAGAGTCCATTGTCAGATTATCAGGTTTTGGAGAACTGCCTACTGCTGTTCAGGTGTTTGGCCAGTAGGAGGCAATAATATGTAGATTAAGATGCCCTGAGCTGTCTGGCAGCAAGCAATCATCCCTTTTCAGGTTTGAGGAAATGCCTTTGCTACTCCAGATGATTCAGCCCTGCTGAACATGCTGGAATTGGCTTCAAGCAGGATGCATTAAATAATGTCCATCACTAAGTGCCTGGTTAAATAAATGATGCTTCATCCAGATAAATGAATATTATGTAGCAGTCGAGAGAAGAGACAGATTTGCCTAAACAGATGTGTATAAATGACAGAGATATGTTTATAATACATTGTTGAATGAAAAAACTAAGAACAATCTATAAAATATGAACAGATTTTTATAGAATATAAACATACACAGAAAAGTCAGGATAGTCTCCAAAGCATTAAAAGTAGTTATTTTGGGGAGGGAGAGGATTGAGGAGCAAGTTCACAGTCTGTTTTAATACTGTATCTATTTTTTAATAACACTTATTTCCCTTAATCAGAAGCCAGCAAAAATATTTTTCTCTTGAAAAATCACTTTGAAACCAGATAATTCCTAAAAGTGTTGTGTGTGTGTGTGTGTATTTCTTATACATATATGCAGGGGTGGGCAAAAGTAGGTTTATAGTTATAATATCTATATATATAAAAGCCTAAGCAACTGATCAGTAGCTATAATGTGCACTGACCACCAGGGGGCAGATGCTCAACACAGGAGCTGTGGAGGGACAGCAACTTTGCAGAATGCCCCCTCACACTCTGGGACACCTTGGGGGATGTCAGACTGCCGGTTTCCGTCCGATCCCTGCAGGCCAGGCTGAGGGACCCCACCTGCTGGAGGGACTCAGCTCACTCCACAGACGCCCTTTGAGCCCCAGTGCTGCCCCAGGTGTGGCCGGCTGGGGAGGGACCATGGGAGGTTGGCTTCAGGGCGTGTTCAGCCCGTCTCACCCAGTCCTGCCCTGCAGGCCACCTTCTAATTAATTTACTTTAAATGTGCACAAATCCATGCACCAGGCCTCTAGTATACATATATTTGGTCACCCAGGTGACCAAAATATGTCTCAGATATAGCTGATCTTCACCCACCGTTCCCAATTCACGGCTCCTTAGGATTTTCTCTTGCTCTGTTAATGAAATGAGTTTTGAATCCCACCCAAGGGTGGGGGCTGGTTGCCAGTAGGAGCCAACAATGTCATTAGAGAACTAGAACTTTCAGTCCCACCATGATTTCCGGGGAGAGGAGTGGGGCTTGGGGTTGGATCGATCATGACTATGTAATGAAGCCTCCATAAAGCCCCCAAGAACAGCTCCCCAGCCCCTATTTTGGACAGCTTCCACACTGGGAACTAGAGCACCTCCGTGAGTCACCGTGCCAGGCCCAGGGGCCACGAGGACAGCGGCTCCTTCCCTCAGGACCTGGCCCTACGCGTCTCTTCATCTGGGTGCTGACTCATATCCTTTAGCATCCTCTGCAATAGATCGGTAATCTAGTAAGTCAATGGGTTTCCCGATTTCCGTGAGCTGTTCTAGCAAAGTAACTGAACTCAAAGAGGGGTCATGGGAACCTGTGGTTTATAGTCAGTCGGTAGAAAAGCACAGATAACAACGCGGCTTGCAGCTGGCATCTGAAGTAGAGGGTGGTGTTGTGGGACTGAGCTCCTTACCTGTGGAATCTGATTCTATCTCTGGGTAGATGGTGTCAGAATTGAGTTGAATGACACCTTGCTGGAGTTAGAGAATTGCTTGTTGGTGTGAGGAAGCCTACACACACACACACACACACACACACACACACACACACACACACGTTGGTATTGGGTCCGGGAACCCCTTTCAACCTCAAGCTGCTAATGGACTCAACCATATCGTGGAAACTCACTGCAAAGAGAAATCATATTTATAACATGTGACCATGCAGACACGGCTTTTCTTGCCACAAAAGTGCTTTTCTGACCGACCGACTATAAATCACAGTGGGTCTGTGTGACCAATAGATGGCAGAGGAAGGGATGGAGTGCCGCTTCCGAGATCAGAGGACAAGACACTGTGGGTTCCATCTTGGGTGTGTGTGCATTTAAACTCTCTCTCTCTCTCTCTCTCTCTCTCTCTCTCTCTCTCTCTCTCTCCCAGATCATGTGCACTGGGAGAAACCAGCTGCTGTGTTAAGCGGCCCTGGGGAGATGTCTACCTGGTGAGGAACTGGGGCTTCTCGCCAACAGCCACATGAGTGACCTTGCAAGTGGGTCCTCCTACACAGCAAACCTTCTGGAGGCAGCGGCCCGGCCCAGACAACGCCCTCGCCAGACACCCAGCGTCTGAAACACACAGACAAGCTGCTCCCAGGGGCCTGGCCCTCAGAAAACGTGTGAGATGATAAATGCTGGCTGTTTTCAGCTGCTAAGTCCTGGGGTGTGCAACCATAGGGAGCTAATACAAGGAAAAAAAGATGGTTTTGCTTTTCCTAGGTAACCTTGGGCTCTAGAAGAAGCACAAGTCGCTCTATGAGAACGAAATCCTCTTTCTCCCCAGTGCCTCACACAGGGCTTTACACGGGCTAGGCAATAAAAAACATGCGATGAAAGTACAAATTATAATGAACAGATTGCTAATTCAGTTGTATGACACAGAAGAAGGACCATTAAGATTCCCAGGGCCCTGGCCGATGTGGCTCAGCTGGCTGGAGTGCCGTCCTTGCACCGAAAGGCTGTGGGTTTGATTCCCGGTCAGGGTACATACCTAGGTTGCGGTTACGATCCCCAGTTGGGACACGTGCGGGAGGCGATCAATCCATGTTTTCCTCAATCTCTCTCTCCCTCTCTCTCTCCCTCTCCAATTCCCCTCTTTCTAAAATCAGTACTCGAGTGAAGATTAAAAAAAAAAAAAAGATTCCCAGAAAACACATGAAGTCATTAGCTTATAGTAGAATGCCAATGGTCACATCAAAATGCCTTCTCCCTGTAATTTTGATAAAAAATGTGACTGTAAATTTATATTTGTTTGACTCCTTTCAAAAAATCTTGTGCACGTGTACACGGAAGCATATGCAAAAACATTTACAGCCGTGCTATTTGTAATAGCAAAAGATCGAACACTAAATAGCCATTAACAGTGTGTCCATAAAACCCACAGCATTCATGTCGAAGTCGAAATCTGGGCACCAGGTGTGCACGATGGTATCAAAGTGTCACTGCTCCCAGGTCCTCAGAGTGGCCAGAGTTAGGGAATATAGGAGTATGTGTCTGTACACACACACACACACACACACACACACACATTTCTATGTATTTCCAGGCCCTCAGAGTGGCCAGAGTTAGGGAATATAGGAGTATGTGTTTGTACACACACACACACACACACACACACACACACATTTCTATGTATTTCCAGGCCCTCAGAGTGGCCAGGGTTAGGGAATATAGGAGTATGTGTTTGTACACACACACACACACACACACACACATACTTCTATGTATTTCCAGGCCCTCACAGTGGCCAGAGTTAGGGAATATAGGAGTCTGTGTCTGTACACACACACAAAATGTGACACACACATGGCACACACCACACACACATTTCTCTGTTTTTCTACATCGACAGACGGAAAGCCATGAGCCACATCAATACCTCTAATACCACAGTTCATGCCAGTGTTTTCTCTTCCGTATCTGACGGAGAGACTCTGCTGGATGCTCCTCGGCCCACTGGGCTCTGCAGCCCCATAGGAAGCCACCCTGTGCCGGGGGGCCCTCCCCATCCTGCTTGGGCTCTGACTCTGCAGGCCAGGTGGCCCCTTCTCACGGACCCACTCTCATGCCCCCAGACTCGGCTCCGTGGGGAAGCCCTCGCCATCCTGCTTGGGCTCTGATACTCCATGCCAGGCTACCCTCATGCATGGATGACCTCAACCTGCTCAGGCTGTGACACGCCATACGAGATGTGCCCCCCTCCCCAGGCCCAACATGGTGCACATGTCACCCTGCTCTGGCTCTGGTACCCACGCTGGGCACCCTCACGGCACTTGGGCTCCTCTCTCTGGATGCCCTTCTCACTTGCTCTGGCCCCGTCACCCCAAACGAGATCCCCTCTTCCACAGGGACTTACCTCGCCTACTTGGGCTCTGACTCCTAACACCCCTTCCTTGCCCCGCTTGATGCCTCCACACAGAGATGCCCTCCTCACCCCCATCGGGCCGTGACACCCACAGCTGGGAGCCCCCCCTCACTGCAGAGGCCTGCCCAGCTCTGCCCCACCTAATGGCTTCGGGGCTGCATTGCTCAGGAAGGCGAAAGCGAAATCCTAATTTAACACTTTAAAGAAATTAAATGTTTTCAAAGAATATTTGCTGTAGGAAAATGATTTAAATTAGTAATATCTTAACCTTAAAATGCGCTGTACAAAAGTACAAGTGGATAAAATAAATGAAAACACAAAGTCCCCTGGAAAGTAACGTAACAGTACAGCTAATCTTTGTTAACTGGTGTATTTACTGTCTTCTAACGTATTCTTTTCTCTTTTCAAATCCTCGCCCAAGGATATGTTTTTATTGATTTTTTTAGAGAGAGAGGAAGGAAGAGGGAGAGAGAGAAACATCGATGTGAGAGAGCAACAACAATCAGCTGCCTCCCGTACACGCCCTGCAGCCCTTCGGAGCACAGGACGATGCTCCAACCAACGGAGCCTCACCGGCCAGGGCCTAACAAATCTTCTATACACACACACACTACACCCCTTTTCAAAAAGGTGGTCATTTCTAAATGCTAGTGACTTAACACAGATCATAAATAAACATCCCTTTACGTTGGTAAATATGCATTATCACATCAATGCCTACAGTGTATAGTGAATTTCCTGTCATGGTCTTACCATAACGCCTCGAACTCTCCTCTTGCGTTGCATATTCTCAAACATTCTTTCAAGCGCTCATTCTCAGGCAGAGCCAAGAGTTGCTGGTCAAAGGGCATTCCGTATTCTAAGGGCTTTTGATACAGGGGGCCAAATTCCTCCCAGAAAGAGTTAGCGTCTGGGTTAGAAGGGTGAAGGAATGCAGGGAGCCTCATTAAATGCATCGTGTGTAAGTGTCAGGAGCCTGCAAATCAGGAGGCGCCAAAAGCCCCCCAAACACTGCAGAGAGCCGGACAGCTCCCAAGTCCAGAGGGTTGGGCTGTGGGGCCTGGGTGGGCTCCAGCTCTGGGGGATGGGAGGGAAGGGGAAGGGGAAGGGAAGGGAAGCTCACTCACCTGCACACAGGCCTCCGTCAGGGTTCCTGGGGGCTTCTCCTCCTGCTCTTCCATGCTCTCCTTCCCGCACGGGCAGGGGCCTGAGGTCCTGAGCTGCAAGGGGAGAAACCCTGAGTACAACCCCCTCCTGTAGGTCCACCTTGGCACCCCCATCCCTGGTTAGTCTCTGCTCCCGGGATGCATTTCCCATGAGAAATGTGCTTCTAGAGCAGTGATGGCGAACCTCTGACACCTCTGACACGCGAACTCATTTTTCTGGTTGATTTTTCTTTGTTAAATGGCATTTAAATATATAAAATAAATATCAAAAATATAAGTCTTTGTTTTACTATGGTTGCAAATATCAAAAAAAAAATTCTATATGTGACACGGCACCAGAGTTAAGTTAGGGTTTTTCAAAATGCTGACATGCCGAGCTCAAAAGGTTCGCCATCACTGGGCTAGAGGGTCCTGCCCGGATTCCAGCCTGGAAAGCTGTGCGTGTACCTGGAGATCCTTGGTCCCTCTCCCAGGCCAGGACTCTGCGGTTCCAAACTGGGTCCTCCCCTATCAGAGGCCTCTGGATCCCGCACCAGTGAGCCCATGTCCTGCCCAAACGCAGCCTTCATCACCACCATCATCTGCAGCACAAATCAGTCATTCCCTTCCCCACTGGGTCCTGAAATTCCTGCAAACACCTAGCCCAGTGGTCGGCAAACCGCGGCTCGCGAGGCACATGCGGCTCTTTGGCCCCTTGAGTGTGGCTCTTCCACAAAATACCAGCTCTTCCACAAAATACCGACTTCTGCGCATGGGCCACGAAGTTTCAATCGCACTGTACGTGCGTGGTATTTTGTGGAAGAGCCACACTCAAGGGGCCAAAGAGCCGCATGTGGCTCGTGAGCCGCGGTTTGCCGACCACGGACCTAGCCCATCGAGGACCCCTTCCTCCCCAACCTGAAATCTGTACCCCAAACCAGCATCTCTTCCTCGGGCAAGCAGCAAGGCTCTGGGATTCATGGCCCCAGATCACACTCCCTGACTACATGCAGGAAGCCAGCAACCTGTCACGATTGCTTCTAACTTCCTGTTCAAATAGCCAAGCACATGCACAGAGCTCAGCTGCACCTGGTCCTTCCACTCTTCTGGGGCTGACCAGCTTCTACCAGCGCTAGC